GGTAAAACCTGTCGGTCAGGTGACAAGCTTCCATTCAGGGGTCAGTCTGGTGGGCGGAACCAGAATGAATACTCCGGTTCCGATTCCAGCCTTCACTTGGGCCAACCTGATGCAGCCTTTGACCTCCTTCTCCATGGAGTTCCACCTGCACCTTATGATCCACTCCCCCACTTCCCCTCTTCAGAGCCTAGCCCTGAGCAGATATCCAGGAAGCCGGCAGGGATTAGATAGCCGCCCTGACCCTCGTCAGGAGAGGCAGGTGACAGTCACGGCGCATTCCGCCCTACGAGGCGCACCAAGCCGGGTGGCAGGGGAGAGGCCGGCCCCAGGTTTGCTAGGGAGGAAACGTGTGGCCTGTGTGCCAGCGGCAGAGATTGGGAAAGGGAGTGCCTGGGGGCAGGGCGCCCCAGGTGTACTGAGGTGTGGCGAATGGACCAGTTCTCACCTGTTGGGGCTCTGGATGGAAAGGCAGGTGTGACAAATCGGAGGTCTTGGCAAACTTGTTACATTGTTGGAACTTCAGAACTCTGTACAGAACACCCCCCGAAACAAAAACAAAACAAAACAAAGGGAATAGACGCAAATACTGGTGAATGATGATGCACGGAGGAGACTGTACTCATTGCAATGAAATGATGAGTGTAAAACTGATGTTCCCCCATGTGAACCGTCACTCAATTCACAATAAGAACTTACAAAACAGAATAACTCTGTACAGAGCAGCGGGAGAACCTGTGGAGATTCTGAGCAGAGGGTGGGGGTTTACCGTGGATGATTTGTAACATCAGTTGCCCCCTTTGAGTTGGTTACAACTTACCACCATCCCATGTGTGCTAGAGGAGAATCGAGCTCCATAGGGGGTTTCAGTGGCTGATGTTTGCAAAAACATCACTAGGCCTTTCACTGGAGGCACCGCTGGGTGGATTTGAACCACCAACCATTGGGTTAGCAATTGAGGTCATTAATATGCACATCCCCCAGGGACTCCTGAATTATCTGTTGTGTGACTTGGAGTCGGTTCTGACCCATAGCGACCCTGTATAGAGTTTCCAAGGCTGTAAATCTTCACGGGAGCAGAAAGCCTCATCTTTCTCCCACAGAACAGCTGGTAGTTTCGAACTGCAGACCTTGAGATTAGCCCAACTCGTAACCACTAGGCTAGCTACCAGAGCTGAGTCTAATTGCCCCACAGGGTTTCTAAGGTTGAGATCTGCAGAGTCCAGATTTCAGTTCTTTCTCCTGCAGAAAGTGGCTGGTGGGCTCCAGCCTGCAATCTTTTGGGTGGCAGCTGAATATGCATTTCTCCAACAATGCCTATTCACTCTGCATGCATACGAACAACCTGCAAGTCCCAGTGGGGTGGAAGCCATTGGTCCGTCCCCCAGCCCAGAGGGGTTCAGAGGATGTGCACCCTAGAGAAGCAGCCTGGCTCACATCCTCCTGTCTGTACGCTTCTAGAACTGGTCTCATAGGACAAATCACTGCTAGGTTTTCTCTCCTCTAAATAGTTGTGTGTTTCTGATGCTGGGGGGTGGGGGAGTGTGTGGGAGGTTAGAGGTGCTTATAGTGTAGCACTGTAGGATAAGCACTGGACTGCTAACTGCAAGGTTGTGGTTCAAACCCACCAGCTGCTCTTTGGAAACCCTATCCAGGGTGTCTATGAATTAGAACCAACTGGACAGTCTTAAAACAGCGTCTCATTTTCTAAAACAAACACATCTAAGGGATTTTCTTTTTGAAATAAATAAGACAAAAACAGGTCCAGATGTCCTGGCCTTAGTGACAGAGAGCACCGCGTCTTTCATCCTTAGACAGGGGACATCCTCCTTGGGGCCACAGACAGATTGAAAAGGGGCTCTGATCTGTTTTGGGCTCTGCCCTCTATTTTGGGTTTGGAGAGTCTCAAGCTTGGCCCCAAACTGAAGTCACTGCTCTTGATTCGATTCCAAATCACAGAGACTCTATAAGACATAGAACTACCCCGTAGGGCTCCCGAGCCTGTAAATCTTTCTGGAAGCAGACTGCCACATCTTTCTCCCAAGGTGTGGTTTGAACTGCAGTTAGCAGTGATTAACCCTCTTCACCAGCCAGGGATCAGCCCAGGAGCATGAATCTGATACTCCTTCTCTTGTCTGATCTGAGCACAGTGGCTGGGTTCTGTGAGTGGGCCAGAGGCACTATCTTCATCTGCCCTGAATGAATCCAACTCTCCTCAACTTGCTTCCCCTTGATGGACTGTGGGTGCCTTGAGCAAGGTGAGCCCTGATGTCATTTCCAGGGGTAACCTCAACAATGCATGGATGGTGGGGTTCGAAGTCAGAACGTTAACTGGCTAGCTCTCTGGGCCACTCTGTGGCCGTGTGTCCTTGGCTGTGGAGTGGATTTGCTCCCGGGACTGGAGAGACTTAGGCATCCTGATGGGGGCTCCAGCTCACCCCTGGCTGGAAAGCCCCAGGACTGAGATCTCAGTTGTTTTTTTTTTAAATCAACTTTATTGAGGAATTCTTAGCAGAAATGAAGTGCAAAGCTCTGTGAGTTCTGACAGATGCTCCTACTCCTGTTGCCACCATGCTGTCAGCAGAAGCTTCACCCAGCATGCCCCAGGCCCTTTGAGGTCATTGCGGCCCCGCCCCCGTCCCTGTCAGTAGAGAGGTATTTTTCCCTTCCCAGAATTCCCTGTCCTCCTAAGCCTGTTATCTTCCTTTGCACTTTACTCTCTCCCAGAGTCTGGAGGCCCTTACATCGGCAGTTGCTCCTCCTCGCTGAGGGGTACCCTAAGACACCATTTAGCAATGCAAAGCTCTACCCCAAACCCCTGTGCACCTGGGCTGCTGGGAGCTAGGGGCCTCTTTCCTATGACCTGGCAGGACCCAGGGTGCCCGCCCTTTTCTCTCTGTGGTAAAGAGACAGCATCTGAGGGCTCTCGTCCCAGACCTTCGGGCTCTGGCTTGTCCCTGCAGCCTTCGGTGAGCCTTGACTCACCATGGTCCCACATGTGTCAGAATACAATGTGCTCCATAGAGCTTTGAGAGCGGATTTTTTTTTTAAAGTATATTGCCAGACCTTTCTTCCAAGGTGCTCAGGTGGACTTAAGCCTCCAGAGTTTCAGTTTGAAGCTGAAGGTATTAACACTGTAGATCACCCAGGATGCTGACTTTAACGCTACTTTGCTCTTCAACACTTTCGAAAGATCCTGTGCAGCAGATTTGCCTAATGCAATACGTCGTCTGATTTCTTGACTGTTGCTTCTGTGAGTGTTCATAGTTGATCCAAGAAGAATGAAGTCTTCCCCCCGCATAAAATGACATCCAGCGTAGGCCAAGGTCTTGTGTTGTTGTTGTTGTTAAATGCCGTCGAGTTGGTTCTGACCCTGTATAGTGTTTCCAAGGAGCAGCTGGTGAGCTTGAACCACCAACCTTGCAGTTCAAACGGCTTTGCAGTCTGACGCATTTACCCACAGCGCCACACCAGGACTCCAAATCAAAACCCAAACCTACTGCCCTCAGTCAATTCTGTCTGTCTTACAGCACCCGTGACCTTATAGAGCAGAGTGGAACTGCTCCGTGCATGGGGTTTCCAAGAAGAGAAATCTGTATGGGAGCAGACCACCTCATCTTTCTCCTTAGGAGCAGCTGGTGGGCTTGAACCACCAACTTTGCAACCAAATGCTTAACCAAGCTCCATGCTAGCTACCATGACTCCATTGTGTGTCTATAAACCAAACCCACTGCCACAGAACCAATTCCGACTTACACAGCCCTATGAAGGAGCTCTGGTAGTATAGTGGTTACAAATCAGGCTGTTAACCTCAAGGTCGGCAGTTTGAAACTACCACCTGTTCTCGGGAGAAAGATGAGGCTTTCTGCTTCCATAAAGATTTATAGCCTCGGCCCTATACAGGGTTGCTATGGGTCGGAACTGACCCGATGGCACTTAACAACAACATGTAGGGTATAGGGAGTCCTGGTGTGGTACTGTGGGTTAATGCGTCAGATTGTAAAGTCATTTGAACTGCAAGGTCAGTGGTTCAAGCTTACCAGCTGCTTGAACCCTATACAGGGGTTCTATGGGTCAGAATAGTAACCCTATACAGGGGTGCTATGGGTCAGAATCAACTCAATGGCACTTAACAACAACAACAACATGTAGGGTGTAGGGCTTCTGAGGCTCATGAGAAATCTGTACCTAGACCAAGAGACAGTTGTTCAAAAAGAACATGGGAACACTGAATGGTTTAAAATTAAAAAAAGTGTGTGACAGGGTTGTCTTCTTTCACCATACTTATTCAACCTGTATGCTGAGCAAATAATCAGTGAAGCTGGGTTATATGAAGAAAAACGTGGCATCATTAACAACCTGTGATATGCAGATGATACAACCTTGTTTGCTGAAAGTGAAGAGGACTTAAAACATTTACTGATGAAGATCAAAGAGCACAGCCTTTGGTATGGATTACATCTCAATGTAAAGAAAACAAAAATCCTCATCACTGGACCAATAAAAAGCATTCTTATCAATGGAGAAAAGATTGAAGTTGTCAAGGACTTCATTCTTCTTGGATCAGCTATCAACAATCTTGGAAGCAGTAGTCAAGAAAACAAAGGACGTAGTGCTTTAGGCAAATCTGCTGCACAGGAACTTTTTAAAGTGTTGAAGAGCAAGGATGTCAGCTTGAGGACTAAGGTGCGCCTGACCCAAGCCATGGTATTTTCAATAACTTCATATGGATGCGAAAGCTGGACAGTGAATAAGAAAGACCATAGAAGAATTGATGCTTTTGATTTATGGTGTTGGAGGAGAGTATTGAAGGTGCCATGGGCTGCCAAAAGAACCAATAGAT